TTGGAGATTTCACTGCTCATTCTCCTCACTTCTGCATCCTGGAAAGGGACTGTTAAACCTTTTCCCTTGCAGAAAACAGCCTTTAGTCCATAAGAAAACTGCCCTCCTCTTCTATGGTAACATAGCTTCCTTAGTAATGCTATTCTGAAACTTTGTCAAAGCCACAATGGGCAAAGTTTTGCCCATCAGCCTTTGTCCATGTACTTGCTGATACTCTCATAGAAGATCAAGAGTCTAACCTGCCTAACCTATCTAGGCACTTTGTGAGTCTGCCCAGCAGGCCAGGTACCATATAGTGCCACTGGATATGGAAAAAAAAAAATCTACATGCCTAATAATTGAACCTCCTGCTATGCCTACCTCCTTCCTCTACCCCCTTGCTGCAGCAACATGGTCAGCACAAAAGGACACTTGATACCAGCTGGAGCTCATCTGAGAGCTTAGATATGGTATTTGCTCCTTAGAGCATTGCCTCATTGTCAGCTATGGGCTCCCTGATTGCCCTCAAGACCCTGGATACGGGAGCTGCAGCACAGGAGTGTCCAGCACTCACTGTCTCCCAGCTTAGGGAGGCTGGCAGGTATCTTGCACTCGGTAACATAGACTGAGTAACCACTCATCTTTCTCACACACAGTTTAAATGAGCTTATTTGGGCTGAGAAAACTCTATCAGTTTAGTTTCTCCTTTTAAGGCATAACTAAGATCACTCATTTCCTCCATGGACATTATTAAACTAATAAGTGGTAGATGAGAGATGCTCAAGAGCGCAAAAAACCCACACAGCAAGGAATTAGGTGACCCAAGGCATCTTGTGCCTTCCCTCCTCCGAACTGCCCTATCTGCACCCCTCTGTCTTCAAAAAATATTAATATGAAAGAACTCATAATATTTCTTATTAAAAGGCAGGTGAGCAGAAAATACTTTTGCTGCTTTTCCCATTTCTACCCTTTAAATCAGGTTTTATTTTACTAATTTATTTTACTAATTTTCTGCCTATTCGGCCTCACCTCAATTTATCTCTGGTCTTATATCTTACCTTCTACTAGTCCAGTGCTAGCCCCAGAGGACAGCAGTAGCATCATTATTTGCTGAAACAGCTTCTGCCTAAAGTTGCTCTTACGAGGCAACAATTTCAGAGAACCCTGTACTCTTACCTAGGACCACTCTCTCTTCTCACATGTGGTCCAAATGGCAGTAAGAGCTGTGATGTAGCTCAAAAGAGAGCATTTCTGCACTTACTGTAAAGAGGTCACCCAATAAGGTATGTGCAGTGTGGTTCAGAGCTAGAAGATTTTTGATAAAGTTTAGGTGATCACTGGCTGTGCCTAAATCTCATGAGATCCATCAACAGGCAATGCCTGTCCTGCACCTGGAGAGGAATAACCCCTGCACCAGGGCAGGTTAGGGGCTGGCCGTCTGGAAAGCAGCCCTGCGGAGAAGGATTCAGGAGTTCTGCTGGACACCAAATCAGCCACAAGCCAGCAAAGCACTCTTACAGCAAAGAAATCCTGCAGTACTCTTGACTGCACTGGTCACAGAGTTGTCATCGAGTTAAGGGAAGTGATCCTATGCCTTTTTGGCACCTGTGTCCCATTTTGGGCTCCCCAGTTCAAGAAGGACACTGACATGCTGGAGTGAGTCCAGTGGAGGCCACAGGACAGCCCAGGGATCTGGGTCTGTTCACTTGGAAGAGATACAGCCCCAGGGAGACCTTTTCAGCTACTACCACAGAATTTATAGAGAAGATGGACTTACAGCCTTCTTGGAGGTGCACAGCAAGGAGATGAAAGGCAACAGTCACATGAAGCAACAATAAAGATTTGGATTTGATGAAAAGAAATGAATTTTTCAAAAGAAAAAGTGAGTGGTTAAGCACTGTAACAGGCTGCACAGAGAGGATGGGGAATCTCCATTCTTGGAGATGCTCAGAGCGTGACAGGAGCAGGCCATGAGCAACCTTATCTAGCTGTGAAGCTGTCCCAGCTTTAGAATAAAGATGTCCAGAGGTCTTTTCCAGCTTAAGCTATTCTGTAATTCTATGATTTTGTGAACATGCAACCCGAGGGGGCGAATGGAAGATGCAAACATAGCCTTCACAGCAAACTCAGAGAGAGAGAGATGGTGAAAGAGCTACTCACACATATGCTGCAGCTTGCCCCACGAAGGAGTTGCCCACATTGGCTCTGGGCAGGGCAGCGGGAGCCCTGGCATGATTTGAATGACAAATTTCAAGGACCAGGGAAGAGAGAGTCAGCGAAAACAGAGGGAAGCCAATTTGCCCAGGATTTATGGACTCAGAGTAAAACAGCAGATATAGCATATGAATTGGCATTTTGGCACCCGTATCAATATTTTATAAAGGCTTTTTTTCTGGTCACTGCATTCTCCAATTGCAGACTACCAAAGAGAATAAATTCAAGTAGCAAAGCAGATCAGACTGTCTGGGTAAGTGCTCTTGATACACAGGTACCATAATCCCACTGCAGGAGTATGAGAACTGCAGGAGAGGTGAAATCATGAGGCCAGAAGGGGAATCCTTATAGAAAACAGAAGGAAGATGCAGATGTTCAGCTAATCCTGTAACCACAGCAACCAATTAATATCTGACTTAGTATATTTGCCCTCTTCCCTCCAAATGAAAAAGGGTAGAAACCCCTGTTGTGCTGTTCAGTAGCAGCTTCCCTTTCCTTGAGCTTTCTGAGAGATGTTAAAATCATCTTGAGCAAATATGCCACTAAGCACTTCTCTGTCTAGTGATTGCTTGAGCGATGAAGGTTAACCCGAGGGATCAAGAGGCAAACCATTTAATTACTACTCACATAGTGCAGTGGCTTGATATCATGAAAATGTTGTCAGAGGTGAGGTGATATGCAGGGTATACATACCATGGAAGGAGATGGGGACTCATGAAGAAACACATCCACAGATGTGTTGGGGCCTTTCTGACTGTGAACAGACCCATCAACAGCTAGAATCAGCCCCATCACAGACGCAGGCCATGGGTCTCTGGCCCATAAAGTGCTCATACCCTTGACTTTCTGTCTTCTACACACTCTTTAGGGCATGGCTCTGGACATAAAACCAGAGCTGCTCTGGGCAATACTTTCCTCCGCAATATTTGTGGTGTTGTTGTGAAACTGACCCCACAACTGTTTGACTGGCTGTAGCATGACAAGTTTGACCATCACCCTTGAGACTGACTCCATATATCTGGGCCTTGATGCATCCTTCTCCTTCCTCCTCATATTACGTCTCCCCAAAGCCAGCTTTGAGCAGGGAGTGGGACAGGAGAAAAGGGAGGGCACCAGGCAAAGGTTTCAGGACTGCTTGGAATGGGAGGAAAGCATTTGGAAATGCCGTATCTGGGAATGGTGGGCATGAGAGGTGTCTCTGGCACAGGCAAAAAAACTTGCTCTGCAAAGGCAAGGAACTCTGTGGCACTCTGATTCAAGCAATCATAGTCAAATAACCTCTTATTAATGTATCGCTGAGGCCTCAGCTCTCGAGGAGTGCTGACTTGGTATGGCAAATGCAGGTGCAGTGGTGAGAAACATCTGCCTGCTTTCCAGCACTGCGCTTCCAAGTAGCTGCACGCCAGGAAACTCCCCACCTCTCAGTGCAGAGAGGTGTGGAGGCAAGCGGCTGCCTGAATCATCTGGGAGATGAGGTGGGCTCGTTAAACAGTAGCACGAAAACAAAACAAAGCAGGAGCAAAGTGGAGCTCCAAAGCGGTGTGAGTGGCACATCCTGTCCTGAGGGATGCCCCTCCAGCCCCAAGGGGGCAGCCAGGCCTGTGCAGGGCAGCCGTGGGCCCCTCTGTGCTGCACAGCTAGTAGCTAAGGGAGGGTCATGGCCCTCTTCTATTTAGCAGGTGACGGGGCAAGACCAGGAGAAAAACCTGCAGGAAAGCTGAATTCCTTGCCTTTAGTTTTGCCAACACTGTGGTTCCTTTCAAAAATGGGTTGTGAAATATCATTAAAAAAATGTGGCTAGAGAAAAACCCAGAGAAAAATAAGGGTTGTTTTTGTTTCACAATCTGGGAAATGCCACTCCTAAGAACATACTTGGCACCCATGCCAGGGCCTATCATGGCACAGGCTCTATTTGCACTTGAAAACTTACTGTTAAGCCTGGCAAAACCACAGCCCAGTGCATTTCGTCACAGTGCCAGATTAACATAAAAAGGGAGGTGCCTCATCACATATATCCAACGTCTCAAAGCCTCAGTCCCGTGGCAGAGGCTGCGTCGGAGGCAGGAAGGTAAGACACCGCCTCCCTGGGGGCCCAGAGGCAACAGGCTTCACTGCAGGAGGTTTCTGCTGAATAGGGACACCAGGATTTGTCCCATTGCCCCAGATTCAGCTCCCCTCAATTTACCTGGTTCTCATGTATTTATGAGCACTTTTCCCTAGGCTCCCTTAACAGCAGAAATAGCTGTTCCCAGGGCACAGTTCCTCCTGAAGATGTCCATGATAACTTAGACAAAGTGCTTGCTGAAAGTGCCTATCTCTCTCTATTGATTATAAAGACAGTTTCAGAGATCCAGGCAGAGCTGTCTGCATGAGGAAAACATGGCTTGTGTATAGAATATGGGCATAGAATAGGTGTATATAATGAGGGTGCCATAGCAAAGAGCACTGAAGCCTATTCATTTTAATTTTCCTGAATTAGATATTGAATTCAAAGGAAGTTACCAAGTCATCCTGTAGGAAGCGGGTTCTAAGTGTCAGCAAAACCGAATGGTCACAAGTGCCTTGTGAGCGGCTGTAGACTGTTTTGTGTCAGAAGAGGGAGATCTGCCACTAGGACATCAGTGATGAGTGCTTACAAGAGCAGATGCAGAGTCAATTATATCTCCCTTTGCATAGACAAATAGCTGCCTTCATCTCAGGGAAAGCTTCTTTGTGTTTGTTCAGCATGCAATGAGATATATTCATGTCTTCATGTTTGCTAATGCTGATTTTCAGATTGTTTTGCGTGCTCGGGGAGAACCATCTCCATGCATCTAATGCTTGTGCTGCTGGGCCTTGCTGCCCTCCTGGGTAAGTCTGGCATCTCCCCCTGCTTCACTGAGCCCCTAAACCAAAGCAAATTCCCCAGACATCTCCCCTCCTTCCTGCTCCAAAATCTAACCTATATGCTGAAGAAGAGGGTTGGTTCACCATCAAAACGGTTGTCATTAGACTGTGTTGGACAAGGGAGCCTTCAGCTCCCCCTGTGAGTCCTGCTGGGGTGGGCGCAGTCTGGGTCTCCTGTGCTGACATGAAGAGGGACAAAGGTGGCTCCACACCTGTGTGCCCAGCCCGTCCTCCCCACGCATGGCTACTGCAGTGTGTGCCTGGGCTATAGCCCTCCCCAGGCTTTACTCACAGCCACAAAAGCTTTCGGCTGCCCACATCTTTCTGGTTAACTTTCTCAGGCACGTCTCAGGGCCGGACCGACTGCTATGGTGATGTAAACAGAATTGACACCACCGGGGCTTCATGCAAAACTGCGAAACCGGAGAGATTAAACTACTGCGGTGGGTATCACCTTTCTGTCCCATGGCTCCATTTCACAGAGGGCAGAGTGATCCTAAGTGCTTTTAAGGTTTCAAAAGGCTGAACACACACTGCTGGCTGATCCTTCCTAATATCCCTGTAGGCTATCATTTACCTCCTTTAGAAGTGAAGCAAATGCAATTTTTGATGTAATTCTGTCTATATTAGAATAATTACACTAGGGCTGGTTTCAACTTAGGGAGGTGACAGACAAATTCTGAATTGTGAAAATTATTAAGGAAATATCCTTACTTTTTATTTTAATTACAGGAGTTGCAGCTTCAAAAAAGATTGCTGAAGTGGACTTATCAGCTATGAATAGATATAAAGCTCTCATTAAGAAAGTTGGCCAAAAACTGTGCATAGAACCAGCTGTGATTGCTGGCATTATCTCTCGAGAATCTCATGCTGGCAAAGCACTGAGGAATGGCTGGGGTGACAATGGAAATGGATTTGGTCTAATGCAGGTATTTGCTGATACTCCAGTAAAACCTGATAAATGAATATCATGTAAAGAAAAGCAAACTACCTAAATATATCACCCATTACTGCAGGAAAATGACATTTTGCTTGACATTTCTAGGTGGATAAAAGATCGCACAGACCTGTGGGAGAGTGGAATGGAGAAAGACATCTTACACAGGGCACACAAATTCTTATCTCAATGATAAATCAAATAAAGAAAAAGTTCCCACGCTGGACAAAGGAGCAACAGCTAAAAGGTAGTGTACAGACTACAGATTTTGTCCAGGAGAAAAGAAAAACCTTAGGATCAGAATATGCTGAATTATTTTCTATGTCCCTTAATAATGATATTTCTGACAAATGCTAACGCAGCTTTTCACCAATGGTGGTGGTTGTCTGCATTTTTATTTCACAGGCAAAAAGACAAGCTTTATCTATTCAGTGTTGTTTCTGCCTTTCCTTGGCATTCTGTCTAAATTCTGTCTGAACACTGTGTAGCAAATATTTATATACCTGAAATCTACTTTATACTATAGCTGAGCTTTCCTTACCTGACCATGAGAAAACTACAGCCATTCAGGTTAATAGTTCTGTAATTTACTTGAACAGAGCCAGCAGTTCACTCCATATGGCACAAGAGACAGAGACGAGACGTTTGCAAAAGGAACGTGCTTCCAGGGAATTGCAGAACCCTGCTGTGCAATGTGGCAGACCTGCCTGTTTCTTAGCAGGTTGTACGTTGCAGCCAGCATCACCCGGCTGTACTGCTGCGCGTGCCTACACGAGCTTGACTAGCAGTCAGCTCAGGAATCTCTGCCTTTCAACACAGCATATGGGGCAGCATGAACAGGAGCAACTGTAAGACGAAGCACATGCAACTTATGATTATGTTTTAACTGGTTTTTGAGAGCAGTAATTTTAAAGGATCAATGAAAACTTACAAGGATGTTGGATCTTATATTATGCTGTGAATAAGCCTGGTGCAAATGAAAGGGTTATGCTAACATGAGTAAACAACCCCCCAGTAACATTTTGATGTTTTGCTGGATTCAGACATAAATATAAGCTGTTTGCAGAGCCTCAGTTAAGTCAGGCAGGCTCTGATAATGGTAACTTTCCCTCTCCCCCTTCAAAAGTAAGTGAAAAAATTGAAACCATGTAAAAGCAGGACACAGGACACATCAGGCTGCAATTTTCACTGCCTTTTTTTTTTTTTTTAAGTCTTCATGACTCCTTCTTTTGCTTCATTTCAGGTGGGATTTCTGCCTACAATGCTGGTTCTGGAAATGTCCGAAGCTATGAAAGGATGGATATTGGAACTACCCATGATGACTACGCCAACGATGTGGTTGCACGAGCCCAGTATTTTAAGGGACATGGATACTAGACTTGGGAATCTTTTTGACAGACAAGGTTCTCTACCACTACTTACCTAACACTCCTGAGGAAGACAAAACACGAGGGCAGAAGATGTTTCTGCAAGTCCTGCATGTAGCCATATATTCTGCAAATCCATATTGATGCAAATTTACAGGAATGATTTACATGAATAAGAACTTGTAGATTAAAGCTCCCAAGTTTTTAAAATAATATTCAGCAAAGCACTGATCATGTGGTTCCTTTAAAAATGATATATTTTAGATTTTACCGAAAAAAAAATAGGAGAATGTTATAACGTTTTATGCTATTTCTGTATTTCTCTGAGTTATGAGGACTGTTTTGTTATCCTATTGATAATTTGTTGGCTTTCAAATCTTAAAACACATTTATGTCAAAATCTGTCATTCTCTTAAAAAATCAGAAAGAGAAAAATAGTTCTTTGGGGAGTAGCTTAATAATTTCTTTTTAAAACTGCTGGATACTTACACTATTATTGGATAGTCATTTTTTCAGAATTTTAATTTTTCATTTAATTGCATAGAATAGATATGGATTTTTCAGTCAGGTAGAAATAAGCAAAGAGAATTTGAATAAAAGATTTCTGTACTCATATTTTCTTCTTTGTTAGTAAAGTTTGAATCACAATGCTAATTTTAGGTAGATAAACAAACTGAGAAAGAAACAGGATGAAATATGTACTTCTGCTTCAGAAAATCCTTTCTTTTTTTTTCCTCTGCTATTAAAGTCTTTACACTCCTGCCATGTAAGAGTGACACTCAATAAAACATCAGTCTGTGTTTGGCACACTTGCTGCTCCTAATACTTCTAGACCTGAAAATGAATTCTCTTTTTTTTTTTTTTTTTCCAGCCTGGGGTGTGGGAGGTAAAAAGGCAAGGAAAAGAGAGGGTAGATGCGAGAAAGTCTGAATAACTGTCATTTTCTGGGGCCATAGGAACTGTTGGGTTTGGTCACCAGCAAGCAGTGCAGGCTGTGCCTTTTCTACTAGCATCAACTTGTATGAGAGGAAATATCTTTTATTCTTGATGTGGAGTGGGAATAATTATACGTAAAAAAAAAAAAAAAAAAAAAAAAACCTAGAAAATATCACTGGCTGCAAGAGTCTTAAAGGAGCATGGAAATGTAATCCAAAGTCATTAGCAGTGCACCAAGTTATGGTTCACAAGGACTTTTAGAATCCATCACGGTATTAAAAACGGTAAATAGTGCTTTGCCAACTCTTTGCCTTCTGCGATGAGAGGATTGGGGTTATGGAGCAGTGGATATTGTACATTTTCACTAAGAAAAGTCTCTGACACAGTCTCCAATAGTATCTTTGTGGTCAGATTACACAGGCATGGACTGAAGAGGCAGACTATGAAGTGGGTGCAGAATTGGCTCAATTGATGGGCTCTGAGAACCTTTATAAAGTCCAGCTGGTGGCCAGTGACTAGTCGAATCCCACTGGAGATAGTCTTGTTTAGTGTCTTCATGAATACTCATGAAGTCTTCATGAACATTCATGAACGATATCCAGCTTGGTCTTCCTGGTTCAAGAGGGATGTGGGTATGCTGAAGCAAATCCAAGGGAGGCCACAAGGTTGGTTGGGTGCTGGAGCACAGGATATACGAGGGGAGGCTGAGGGACCTGGGCCTTTCAACCTGGAGACAAAGTGGCTTCGAGAGGACATTATTGCCAGGGCTCAGACTGCACCAACAGGCTCTGCAACCTCAATCCCTTCTGCTGGGGGTCTGGATGCCTCATTGAAAGTAGACAGCCAGGAGGGAAAAAGTAGCAAAAATGGAGAAGGAGCAGGTACACACACATAAATATAGAAATATAGCCCAATTTGGGGCTTTCATTTTAAGCTGAAATGTACTTAAGTTTTGCTAATCATAAGGAGAAAGCCTTTTGCTGTACTTCTGTGAGGTCATGAACCAGACTTCAAAGATATTTGAGAAGTTATCTGAAGTCTTTACTCAGTTTTGCAAGACCTAAGGCTTGCAGAAACGAACTTATTGCAACAGGCACCAAAATTGTGCAATGAATGTAAGATTCCACTGTCAGTCCTGTTTGTACTCTCTAGTGGGTTCTTATGCCTGCTGATATGAGAACAAGTTCTGCAAAAACTATGGCGAGGGCAGGGATCAAAACAAACCCAGTTTAAAAAAAAAAAAAAAACAACCTTTGAAATTTACATTTCAACTTGTTACCTTTTACAGCCACTGCTTTCTTTCCTTTGGCACTCCACTGGATTTTTGTTATAGGACTCTATATATGCCTTTTTTATTGTTTAAGTATTAAGGTATAAAATTGAGCTTTGCTAAATTGTTGCAGCATATAACATAAACTTATCAAGTTATAACTTATTAACTCACAAAGTTATTTTCTTAAAGATGAGCTGTTATTTGAGGAAATAAATAATTTTTCATGTATCATGAATAGTGCAGTTTACTGAAGGAACTACACTACTTAAAAAATACATGGGAAAAAGGAGAGCAGTTCTACTTACTCCAAGACAATTTAATCTCATGTGCAATACTGAGAGAGCTAGAATTATGCCATGTGCATTTTTAAAACAAGAAGGCAGCAGCGAGACATTTTAAGGGTAACTCAGAATATTTATCACAATTAGGCTTCTGTGATTCTTCATGAAATACAAAAAGGGCCTAAGGTTTTTATGCTACCTTATTGTTGTTTCACATTAGAATGGTCCTGTTTGACCTCCTTTACCTTCCATGTCTCTCTCTTTTACTGAGAGGGTTTCTGATAAACTTATTTGAAGACTCTAAAGACTGGCTTACTGGAGTAGAAAAGAGACTTGTCTTTTTCCTGTGCGATACAGCATTAACTTTCTTTTCAGTGCAAAACAGGGCCATGGCTTACCATGAGGAATTTGGACAGGGAATTTGGAACATAAACAATTATTTGGGCACTTTCAAAACTGCTCCAAGCCAGTGCCTGCTCCATTCGGGCATACCAGCAGCATATCTTAGGGGTTGCTGCCTCAGGGACCAGCAAGAGGCTGGTACTTCTGATGCAAAGAGCTCTGACAGAAGCTGTAACTGGTCTTCAGCCTTGGCAGCCAGCCTAAAACTTCGGTCTGTGCCTGCCCTCCCAGCCACATCTGCAAGGGAACCTGCTTTGTGCCACATGGGTCCTCTCTTGGATGCCCCTGCCATCCTCTCCCAGGGGTCCCGATGCAGGGGACGGCACCCTCAGACACTGGGGCAGACAAACACCAGTGTGGTCCTTAGTGTTGTCACTCGGCAGCACTGGAGCTGAGGCACAGGTCATTTAGAGATTATTGCTATATGACATACTGGTGTATGCTACTGGTATACTTTGACCTTTCAGTACTTTTCAGCACTTATTTCTTTCACTTGTGCATGAACCATTTCTGTTCCACACTCCTTCTTATCAGAGGTACTTCCTTTGGCTTCAAGGCACATCTAAAAGGAAATGCAGGGAAACACCAAATATGCCCAGAGAGCAACATTTCTATCTCAGTCTTCCTTTGCCCTAATGAGTGCGGGTTCACCTCACCTGCTTTCCCAGGATTAGGGTTAGGGTTAGAGTAGTAATAAAGCGCAGAGACCATGTAGAGTATCCCTGTAAAGGATATGTAAAACGACAGGCATGTTAAAACAAAGTCTACCCTTAGGGCAACTTCTATCTCTCAGTCTGCCTTTCCCCTGATGAGTCAGAGTCCGCGTCACGTGCTTTCCTACGGTCAGGGTTAGAGTTAGGGTCAGGCTTAGAGCACTGAAGAAGTGCAGAGCCACATGCATTGGGGCTGCAAAGCATATCAAAAAAAAAAACGTGCGAGACAACAGCAAGGTGGTCCTGTATGGCTACTTTTGTCTCTCACTCTTCCTTTGACCTAATAAATTCATGTACCCATTACCCACTTCTCTAGTGTGAGAGTTAGGATTAGGGAAAGGGTTAGGGTTAGGGTTGGGGTTAGGGTTAGAGCAGTGGTGAAGCGCAGAGCCACATGTAGAGTGCTCCTGCAAAGGCCAACAGAAAGGACATAAGGGGCATGCCTAAGTCTGCCCGTACGCCAACTTTGGTCTCTCAGTCTTCCCTTGCCCTCATGAGTGCATGTCCACGTCACCCACTTTTCAAGGGTTAGAATTTGGATTAGGGTTAGAGCATGGATGAAATGCAGAATTCCATGTGGAGTGTACCTGCAAAGGACATAAAAAAAGGACATATGGGCTAAGCCCAACTCCACCCATATGGCAGCTTATGTCTCTGAGTCTTCCTCTGCCCCACTGAGTGCAGGTAAACGTCCTCTGCTTTCCTACGATTAGCGTTAGGGTTAGAGCAGTTATAAAGCTCAGAGCCTCATGTGGATTGGGGCTGCAAAGCATATCCAAAAGGACGTGCGGGATAAAACTGAGGCTGTCCTCACGGAAACTTTCATCGCTCACTCTCCCTTTGACCTAATGAGTCCGTGGCCCCGTTACCCAGTCTCTACTGTTAGACTTAGGGTTAGGGTTAGGGTGAGGGTTAGGATGAAGTGCACAGCACCATGTGGAGTGCTCCTGCAAAGGACATCAGAAAGGACATAAGGGGCATTTCTAAGTCTGCCCGTACGCCACCATTGGTTTCTTAGTCTTCCCTTGCCCTC